TAACAAATATGGTTTCATGAACCAACTACCCCATAAACCTGAAATCTCGGGAATGATTTTATATCTAGTAAACTAACATGTCCCCTCAAGCAAGAGCCCTTTGAATTTGTAGTGTGGACAATGCACAGGCCTTCCTACCTCGTATTGAAAAGTTTTTAACTTTTATTTAGAAAAAATGTGGGGGCAATGTAAGGATTGAATTGTAGACCACTTGGTCATAGAGGTTTAGGTACAGTGTCTCAAACCAACTATTCTAAAAGCTTAGGTTATTGGTGAAATCACATAAATGATTTTAATGGATGAGAGCTAAAATGAACGGAAAAAATGAACTTACATTGGGTTGATGAAAATTTAAGATATCTTTGTGAATTTGGTTTTAGCATTGATTGGAGTTGTTCTGGACTTGCCTCATAGGTAAAGCCTCGATTGTTAATGCCATTGTTTTGGGCTGAGATCCACCATTCCTATAAACCATCTGATTTGGGTCAGCTCAATTCAAAGGCCCACTCCACGAGTCACACACTCCACACCACACTACTTTTTTTGAAATATTCTGGTCTCGCACACCTAAATGCCTTGGCCACCAAGAGGGCTTTGAATCTCATAGCACATTTTTTGGAAGGCCTGATGCATGCAAATTTTTTCTTATAGGTATGATGATCCAGACAGTGCTTCATCCTCATTTTCAATTCTACTTGGAGATGCTCCTCATCTTGATGGCAAGGTTGGGCAACTATAACCGCAATATCGCTAAAATCATATCTTGTGTCGTCTGCAATTGATATACTGATGTAATCCTTTTTCAGTATGCAATATTTGGAAAAGTTACTAAAGGTGATGAAACACTGACAAAGCTCGAGCAACTACCTACCCGTAAAGAGGGTATATTTGTAATGGTATACTAGAAAATCTTATCCATCTTATGCATTTTTCTTTCTTTTCCCATCTTTTAATGTTCAATGCTAGATCATATTCATAGATTTCCACGTTTTAGGAAATTTATAGGTTTTTCCATGCAATGATTATTTTGTTCTTTTATTTTGTGGATAAGCCATGGGGCCATGGGCAAAGCTAGAGAGACCGATGAGAGAAGAGAAAAGGGAAGGTGGGTGGGGTGGGAGATCCTCAAAACTTATATAGTTTTGTATGTGTTAAGATAATTCTGTTTAGATATACTAGTTTATCTTCTCCTAAGTTCTAGTTTAGTTTCCTTAGTCAGTTTTATCTAAATCCCTAAACTTTAGGGATTGATTATATTTTATGCCTATTTATTTTATTGTACTCATTCAGATTCAATAATAAGAAATTATTCATATTCAAGTTGGTATCAGAGCACTCTGGTCCAGGAACCCTAATCCAGCAGCCAACATCTAGGGTTTCTAGGGTTTTCGAGTTTTGTCCGCGGTTGACGGAGTTGACACCGCCTGCACACTCAGAGGTCGCCGATCGGCCTCCCCGTCGCGAGCCACCGTCTCACGCGCGGTTATTGTTAAAGAAGCTCGCCGGCGCGTGGGCTTCACGCGCTGCCCTCCCAGCCTCTGTTTGCGACGCGGTTCACTCCGTTGGACTCGCCGGCCCTCCCTCTTCCCGTTTTGACCCTTTTCAGGTTGTGGGTCACACTCTAGGTGGTCGTTTGGTTGCGGCCTCGGAGTTTCATGGTCGTTTGGTTGCTGCCTCGAAGTTCCGTGGTTGTTTGGTTGCTGTCTCGGAGTTCCGTGGCTGTTTGGTTGCTATCTCGGGGTTCCGTGGTTTATGAATAGAAGGTTTTTTTGTCCTTGTGTTAATTGTTGTAATGCGACTCGCCTAGAACTTGATGTTATAAGAGAACATCTTTTTTGTGATGGATTTCTTAAGAAGTATACATGTTGGATATGGCATGGTGAAAATGTTGACATTCAAAGTGTATCAGTCGAAACTCAAACTCAAACATTTACACAAGATATAGATATGGATGATCGGTTAGAGGAGATGCTTCATGATGTGGGTCTAGAATCATTCAAGCATGCACATATGTACGAAACTATGTGCAACGATTTGGAGAAGCCGTTGTATCCAAATTGTACAAACTTCTTATACTCCAAACCCATAGGACACAACACCTTTTTTGCCTCGTAGTTACGATTAGGCAATGTGTTACCCTCTGGAAGCATTTCTTTCAGTAGCTCTAACAATTCTGTGAAGCTTTTATCACTCCATCCATTTCTTGCCTTCAAATTGAACAATCTTAATATCGCTGAAAGTCTTGTGAATTTTGTACAATTTGGATACAACGGCTTTTCCCAATCGTTGCACATAGTTTCATACATATGTGCATGCTTGAATGATTCTGGACCAACATCACGAAGCATCTCCTCTAACCGATCATCCATATCTATCTCTTGTGTAAATGTTTGAGTTTGAGTTTCGACTGATACACTTTGAATGTCAACATTTTCACCATGCCATATCCAACGTGTATAATT